CTACCACCGTCCACCATCACCGTCACCGTCCATCACCATCGTCGTCCACCACCACCGCCACCATCTACCGCCACCGCCACCACCGTCCACCACCACCTCCGTCAACGTCCACCACCACCACAATCGTCCATACACCACCACCATACACTACCACCATTAATTTATATAGCAGTCTACAGACATTAAAAAAACAAACAGTCTTCTTCTTGCAGACCGCAGACCTTCGGTCCACCACTTCTCCGGCAGATGTCTACCGTAGTGGTCAGCAGACCGCAGACCTTTTCCTGCAGAAAAAACAAACAGTCCTGAGATCATCTCTTTTGCACCTGTTCCTATACTAAGGAGCGGTATAAGAGAGCCTATGCTTGGAGTCAATGCTACTTTAAGATAATAGCGATTTCTGCTGCGTGTGTTTATCATATTTGGTAAAATCAGAAACTTTCTTACTTTGATCGAAGAAGCTGCTCATTGGATTGATTAATTACCATGTGGGTACTTCTTTGAACTCTAAAATTTTAATTACTTCCATCTTGAATGTGTTTGTCCTCCTGGTCTGTAGTAGTAGCTTCGCAGTGTTGATTAGTCTCGTAGATAGTGTTTGTTTTTTTTTGTTATTTTTTCTGTTGGGATTGATTAATTAAAAAAAAAAGAAAAAGAAAAAGAAAAAAAAGGAATATGCATGTATACACATAATGCATGTGAAGTGGACCCATGATGCCATGCATGTGAAGGGAAGCTAATTGTCTCCTTCCCTTGTTTTTGGTGGTGTACGAAAGTAATAGGATGGTGATGTTTTTTTTGGCCTTCACCTCTTATAAGAGGAATCTTTTTTTTTATATTTGGGTGTGGGTTTACACACGGCCTAGATGGAGAAAAAAGGTGTCAAGAGATAGGTGCTACACAAGATATCACCAATATTGTGTGAGTGAGTGTAGGGAGTAACTATTATTCAGTTGCTCGAAAATACATCCGGGTGTAGGGTGTGAAAAGTCTGTTTATAAGTGTCTGGTATTTAGCACTTGTAAACAGGAAGAGTTTTTTGTGTATCGTTCTGAAATAGTGAAGATATAATTTTTCTCTCATATTTTCTCCTTGTGTTTGTTCTCTCATTTTTCTGGTGTTCTCAATATTTTTCGGTATCTTACGCGCTTAAAATCCCAACATTCTCTTGGTACCATTTGTATATTTGAGAGGGGTATATTTACATTCGGTTCAAAACACATTAATCTTTAGTGTTTGTATAATGTTTATGGTTAAAACGTGTCACTATGTTAGTATCTCGGGACAACCGATTTGTTAATTGTTTTAGAGGAAAATGTTATTTGTACTCCAAAAATTTGTACCCCATATTGTACACCGCAGGAATACACTAACATTTTGTGTTGGTGTAATGCTAATTCTTGTTAACGCATCCCATGTGAATGGGTATTTTCGCATTGGGCTGGGCACCGTTTAACCTATAGAGAAAACCGAATTTGGACTCCGGCTCTTAAATGAATGACCCCAGAGTGTATATTAATTCAAGCTCGGTGCCATGTCATCGATCCGACAGAAATGCGCCTTTCCAAACCGTCGATTGAGTCCTTATCAACGGTCAACAAGCCTGGCTAAAATTTTTGCGCCGGATCGTTACAGAAACCGAAAATTTCACCAAACAAAAAGTTCAAAAAAAAGCGAGCCATTTCTTCGAGCCCAAATGGCAATATATATATAAACCGCCAAGCTCCCAGCAATTCCCATCTCAATCCACATCGATTTCCAATACGGAACCCTAGAAAACCAGAGATATCTTCATCTCAGTCCAGCGATGTCCGGCCGCGGGAAGGGAGGGAAAGGGTTGGGAAAGGGCGGAGCCAAGCGTCACCGGAAGGTGCTGAGGGACAACATTCAGGGAATCACCAAGCCGGCGATCCGGAGGCTGGCGAGGAGGGGCGGCGTGAAGAGGATCAGCGGCCTGATCTACGAGGAAACCAGAGGTGTCCTCAAGATCTTCCTCGAGAATGTGATTCGTGATGCGGTGACTTACACAGAGCACGCTCGGAGGAAGACTGTGACCGCCATGGATGTGGTCTATGCTCTGAAGAGGCAAGGCAGGACTCTGTACGGATTTGGAGGTTGATCCGTTGTTGTATTCCAGTTTAGCGTTTCTTTGTTTCTGTTTTTCAGATCTGAAACTTCTCTGTTAATTCCGATGCTGGTTTAATCACGGATGACTTTTGTTGCTGAATCTTAATGATACTTTATTTCGTTTTCCTTCGTGGATCTGTAGTGTTACGCTTTGTATCTTCGGATTCTCAATTGATCTTCATCTTCTTAAAATTAACATCTGAGTATTTGCTTATCAGGCTTTAAAAAATTTGCAGTTGAATTTACCATTTTTTTCTTAAGACCTAAACACCATCGTTGAATTCACATAAAAAAAATCATCCTTAAATTCACATTTGCAAACTAATACTCCTCTCAGGATTCAAACAAAATTGACAAATTGTTTTTGAATCCCTGCGTCTTTGAGTTGAGTGGGTCTTTGTGATTGACAAATATTATTTCGGTTTGTGAGTATTTATTCATTGAGTGCTTCTTTCGAACATCTTTTATTAATTTTGTGCATCTTTTTACATATATTTTTTTAAGTTTTATTTTAAAAAACAAATACCTATTAGTAGTAAAGAAATGTATATTTCGCTTATATGTAGTAGGTTCATGTTGGATTTTAGTTTTTAGTCAAAATTGGAAGGCACTCAGTCACTCACTACAAATTGAATTTAAAACACTAGATAATAGGGGTGAGCATGGTACGGTATTTAACTCGTACCGATATTGTACCAAATATTTTAGTTCGGTATGAGATTTTACTTCGTACTGATTCTGATTCCAAAATATCGATTTGGTATGGTTCGGTATCGGTTTCGGTACAAATCGGGATGAATATACGTACCTACTTTACACATTAAAATTTAACAAACCCCCTTTATTTTTGAAAATTAAAAGTGAATTTAAATAAAAAAACATGAAAAATTAAAAAAAATGAATATTTAAATGCAAGAGATGCATATCAAAACTTAGTTTATATTTCACAAACTAAAAAAATGGACAACAAAGGAGTATTTCGAATCTTTGTGAATATTTTTATGTTTATACATAAAAACTAAAACTTAAATAAAAGTATAATTTACACATAATAGAACTTGAACCGATTTTTTTAAAAAATATTATTTAGTGAAGGAATATAAAATATTACTCCGGGGTATTGTTTTTTATATTACCTCCATCCCATTTTATAACATCTGTTTCGGTTTACGATGTTTGACTGAAATTATTTTCAAACCATTTTATATGATAAATGGTATAGAATTAAAAAATAAAAATTACATATTAAAAAACTACATCAAAAGATCTACAAAACTAGTAGTGACAATTATATTTTATTTTATCAAATTACTAATGAAAATAGAGAAAGAAAGTGAATGAAGTTTGACCCTGTGAATAATAAACCGGCATTATAATTTGGGACAGAGGAAGTAATATTTTAGTATATATGTTCGGTTTGGGATTTTCGGTATGGGACGTCACCTCGTACCGTTCCCAAATACTGTACCGACCATTCGGTTCGGTACGGTTCAGTTCCTTCTCGGTACTTTTTTGGTTCGGCATTTTTCGATTCGGTATTCTCGGTTTTTTCGATAAATTTCGATATCGGTTTGGTACTTGCTCACCTCTAGTAAAACACATAACTTTAATAGAATTAATGTATAAATTTAAATTCAAATAAAATTAAGATGACATCTAAAAGTTATATATATATATATATATATATATATATATATATATATATATATATATATATATATATATATATATATATATATATTGCCACACATATATTTTCTAAAGATGTATCATTATTTAATTAGTCCATTTTTTATTATAATAGTTTATTAATTAAAACTATTTTCATTAGTATTTTATTCATTAATGGCCATTAGTTTTGTATAAAATTTTTCTTTTTAAATAAACATACCAATATACATTTTACCACTTTAAAACGTATTTTGTTTACATAATCAAATTATGTCTATAAAATAATTTTTAACTTTATAGATGTTTTGAAAAATAAAGGTTTATATGATTTTTAAAAACAATAAATCATTTCTCTTTTACTATAAAAAAATACTTATAGAATCTTTAGTGCATGTACATATATATTTAAAATATATTATTTAAAAAAAGATATATCTTAGAGTTTAAAAAATTCATCTAACACATTATGTCACTATTAAAAAACTAAAAGAAATAACATTATATTTATAGAATGTCAAAAATTTAGAATGTATAAGAGTACGTGTGAAGCACAGGGTTAACAAATATTTAAAACATTATAAATACGAGTCCATTTAGAGTACACAAATCTTTAAAAGTCTATTAACTTTTGCTTGTTTAAAGATATTTAAAACATTATAAATATAATTTTAAATAAAAAAAGCGGAAAAAACTGAGAAAAGTGATCGATCTCCATCGTCCACATGTGGCGTAGTAACTTAAAAAAGGAAAAATTAGAAATTTAAGGGCCCAACCGGGTTCGAACCAGTGACCTCTTGATCTGCAGTCAAATGCTCTACCACTGAGCTATGGACCCTTTTGTGTCTGTTCTTCTCAGTCTTTAAACTATTCTTTTAAAACTTGAGTTATCAATCGACCACGTCATCTCCAATTGCTACGAATAACTAGTGGTTTTCACTTTTTTCCCCCTTTGTGTACAGTCTAAAGATTATTTGACATCCAGCCTCTTAAAAACATTATGTAGTAAAATCGTAAATGTCTTTTTAATTTAAATTAATACTCCCTTGTTTCTAAATCATTAATACTTACGCAAAACGAAATAAAATCATAAATTTTTTCATTTATTTTATTTAAAGTTTGATATATATAAATAAAATAAAAGCTATTTCCTCCGTCTACAAAAAAACTTCTCGTTCACTATTCACGGAGTCAAACTTTATTCACTTTGTTGGCCTATTTACGTCATTCATTTGATAAAATAATATAGTCATGTCACTTCTAGTTTTCTAGATCTTTTGATATAGTTTTTTCATATGTAATTTTTATTTTTAAATTTTACACCATTTTTCATATGAAATGATTTGAAAATAACTTCAGTCAAACATCGTAACGCACAACGGGAAGTTTATTTGTGAACGGAAGGAGATTATATTTAAAAAGTATGTATCAGAAGTTTTACGAAATAAGAGGTGACATGTATATTTTATATTATTAAATAGTTAATGAAAATACACAAATAAACAAAAGTTTCCATAATCATTTAATAGGAAAATATGTAAATCACTTAGGGACAGAAAGAAGTATTTAAATTCAAACGTATTCTTATCACATTGTTTTCTAAATAATGTCAAGGTACCAACCTAATTGTACTGATATTCCATTTCTCTCTCTAGCAATGACGAGAAGAAGGGAAAGACCGAAGAAGAAGGCTTCGATTAGCAATGCGCAAGGGATACAAACACCCGGATCAACACAAGTCAGTGAGTCGGCTCAGTCTAAGACATCACGCGGGCGGAAAGGAAACTCCTGCTTCAGACAGATTTGAGATGATGGAACAAAACCCTAGGACAGATGAAATTTCTCAAAATAATGATCCATTTGAATTTCCGACTGAGGAAAACCTATTCACTTTACTCCATCACATCAAGGCCAACACATTGAAAGCCTTTACACTTTTTAACTTCTCAATTCTTCGTGCCAAGTCAAACAAGGAAAGTAAATTTTAGACGAAGGGAGTGATGATATTCTATTTCCTATTATCATTAATATTCCTAATAGATTTAACAATATGTGGCGATAGATTCAAATTTGTGACCTACTCTTTCTGTCCTAAAAATATCATTTTACTTCGAAATAACGTGCAATTTATTACTTTTAAAATTATTTTATTTTAAAATTTATATAGAAATAAAAATTAAACATTTTTTATCTCAAAACTATATCTAAATGTGACAAGAATATTTTATTTTATCAAATATCCGAGTAATCAATATAAATGAGCAAAAGTTACAAAAAAATGTTATATATATATATAAATCAATTATTACTTCTCTATATTGTTCCATTGTCGCGTCGGAATTGTTCATCTTGGAGATCTGATGTCGTTATGAGTACGATCAAGTGTGGACGATACTTGTTATGATCAAGGTTTCTAAACAATTAGTACTATATATTTTACCACTATAATTAATGTGATTAATTCAAAACGTTTTTGAGTAGATAATTGACAATTGCAATGTAAAGTCTTATAATTATTCACATAGGGAGTACGTATATACCAAGATGCTAAATTATTAGGAGCACCCATATATATTGGTGCATAGAGCGCGGTTGTATGTGTAAATAGAGTCGTGATATATATGCCACGATGATATAAAATGAGAAAATGACAATTAAAATGAACAAGACACCTAGCTAGTAGTATATATATATATAAGATGCCAGGGTAGGGATCGGACTAGGGACTATATAGCCTCGTTCATTTTATCACGTCACGTAAACGTTTTTATTCTTTCGTTAAACACATTGAACTGCTTGATCTCTATCGCCATCATCGTCATGAGCATCAAGTCTAGGTTTATTGTTAGCAATATTATTGGAAGACTTGGTTGAGGTGAACTCTTTATTAATGTCCTCCTCCTTTGATTGGCCGCTTGTTGTTGTGTCTTTACTTTTACCCCATACCACTAGGTATAGCCCAACAATAATAACCGTGGCTCCCAAAACCCTACACATGCAGTTTTGCAAAGTAAACCAATTCAATATCTTTACAAACAAAGATCTAAAGTTATATATAACGGTAACACTTTGATGATTAATTAATTAAACTTTCATATACATATGGACATGGAATACTTACTTTCCGAGATCTAACTGCTCACCGAAGAGGATGGCACCAACGCTTGCGACGATAATCATACCCAGTGGATTAAAAGTGGTGACAAAAAAAGGCCCTTTCTTGGCCATGATCATTCCTGACACATAGTAAACCACTCCCGAACAAACTATTCCCTGCAAATATACAATAATATTGGTTATACATCATATATGTATATAACCAACATTTGTATATGTATATTGTTCATATTTTATCACATACGTTGTAGAAGTAAGCGAGCAGTGTAGTGTCCCAGCGGAGAGACCAAATGGAGTAGTTTCCATGCTCAACCACAAGGGTTAAAACCAGATTCAGTAATGCCCCAGTCATGCAAATTAGGGCTGTCAGCGAGATACAAGCTGGGTAGGATTTCAACGTGATTGCCTGCATGCATGCATGCATATATTAACGTCAAATAATTTTTCCAAATCGATGAATATGTACGTGTTGTAATTACTAAAGTAATTACTCATAATTACCTGAAGAATGAAAAAACAAGACCAGCAAAACATGCCGGCGGCGATCATGGCCGCACCTTTGAGATGGTCATGGTACTGTTGGGTGGTGGTGGTGGTGGTCGCAGCAGCTACTGGGTGGTTTTGGTGATGTGGCGGCGGCGGCGTGGTGGTGTGTTTGGTCCATGGGAGTTCAAAAATGTGGCCTTTCACTAGTGTCATTATCATTGCACCACCAATGGTTAGTGCTGTCCCAGCGATCTTTCCTTGGCTGTGCAACTGCTTCACCTTCACCTCTTCAAGCCTGAAATAATTTATTCAACCACCCACATTATTTTAGTTTTTATTCTTTTTCTTATTTAATTCTTTGTCCTATTAGAGTATTAGTGTTCATTTCCCTTTTGGTTTTGCTTTGGTTTTTTATTGGTTCTAAAGAAGAGAAAGAGAATAGAGATGGGTGAGAGGCCGATTTGGCAACCGGAAAGTACCACTATTCAATGTTACTAATCATTATTCAAGCAAATGTCCAGCACTACATGTTATTGTTCGAACTAAATGTCAACCATCACTGGACATGGTTTCCCATCATTAGATATATATTACAGAGTATTCAAGTATTATTTAGGAACTAAAAAGAATTTATTAAGTAGTACTACATTTAAAAATAAAAAACATTTGTTTTAGTACTGTACAAATTTAACTTAAGATTACTACTGCACTACGTAAGATATGATTATTATTATTATTGTAGGTACGTGCAAATATAATACTCCCTTCGTTCCAAAAATTTCTTTCTTTTTTTTGTCCAAAAAAAACTAGCCCTTTTCTATTAAAAAACCATTCTTATCTCTATTAATTTTCTTAACATATCTATCACATCATACTTTTTCTTATTAATAATCTACCATCATATCCTATTTTTACATATGACGTTAATGACATTTTTAGATAGTCAACACAAAATTAACATAATCTTAAATTTTCTAAAAGTTAAAATAGAAATATTTTTATTAGAGGGAGGGAGTATACACATAATTGATAACGTGATTGAATTGGAATGGTAGGTAGGTAGGGCTGCAGGTACCTGAGAATCCAAGCCAAGAGGAAGGTGATGGCAGGAACAAGATTGCACATTGCAGTTGCGAATGTTGCGGTTGTATACCTCATCCCTGCGTAGTATACATTTTGATCCACCACCGGTCTGCCACACACGTCCACAACATTATTGCACATTGTTTAATTTAATTTACACACTTATGATAGAATAATTCTCCATAATAATAATAATAATAATAATAATAATAATAATAATAATAATAATAATAATAATAATAATAATAATAATAATAATAATAATAATCTTATTCACCTCTTTTAAAATACAATTTTCATTGTTCATTGTTAAAGATTAACTACAAAACATATACTAGTACTTCTTACTTAATTAAATTTGCCAAAAGTAAAAAAAGAAAAGCTTACTCCAACAATGCTAGTAGCATTATCCTCAAGAAGATGTTGATGCTCATCTTTGGTCTTATTTTCCTACATATTTTCATCCCCACAAAAAATATAGATCCACTAAATAGAACATTAACATTATTTAAGAAAATTTTAATTATTAGAGAACAAGCCCTTATTATGATAAATCTATAGAAAGCTCCATCCTAAAACTAATTGACAATTGGAAGAGTAACCCATGAAAGTTATATACTTTCTTAGTCTATGAAAAATTTTCTCCTTTTTTCATCCATCCCTAAAAAAGTCACATTTACCCTATTAATTCTTAACTTACCTATTATATCGCATCTATTCGTTATTTATCTATTCATCAAAATCTTACTTTTTACTATCACGTCCAAAGATATTTTTGGAAACCCAACATCAAAATATGCTTTCTTTTAATCCCTTAAAAATTAAAATCTCCATGTTTTCAGAGACGGAGAGAGTACTAGGCATTTCTCATTAATCTTTTCGAGGTGGGAACACTCCAACTGCAATCACAACTTTGAATTTTAGTTTCAGTTGATTANGGGGGGGTTCATAATACCTACCTTTCAAATAGAATGGCAAAGGGAGCAAAGACGACGGCGGCAATGAGATTGCGGTAGAAAGCAAAGGTGAAATGGTTCATCCCATGGTTGAGTGCCGCTTTTGAGATGATATAATTGGCGGCGTTGCATACTTGCAACAACACCACCCCAACATATGACATTATTATTATTCCTCCATCCTTCTTAATCGTCATCATCATATCATATATCTATCGTTAATTACTACATATATGTGTATTAATCATATATATATCTATCGTTAATCAGCTCGCAATAATATACTAATAATGGTTGTGTATGTGTGGGTATATATATAGGGCTAGCTAATGGCATTTGTGTGGGGGTGCTCCCCATAGTTACGTTTACAAAAGGAGCATCATATAGGGGTTATTATTAAAAGTTAATTTCTTTGTTTCAAATTAAATTGCATGTATTACTATTTATAAAGTCAAATTTTATTGTTTTTGTTTTATATTTTCGTTAGTCGATCGTTTGATATAATAAAATAGTCATGGCATCAACACTAATTTCGTACATCTTTTGATTTTTTAGAATATGTATTTTTTATTTTTTAATTCTTCACCATTTTTCATATAAAATCATTTGCAAATAACTTCAGTCAAATATCGTAAAGCGAAACAAACGATTTAAATTGTAAAACTTGTATAGTTACTAAATGTTGCACACATGCTCCCAAACTTGTGTTCAAAGTTAAAATGATACTCCCTTCGTCCGGAAATGATGTTCTCGTTCTACTTTTTTTTCCGTTCAGGAATGATGTTCTCATTCTACCTTTTATTCTCTATTCTTCCAAAAATACCCTTATTTCAAAAATATCACATTCTCCTCAATTTTTCTTTCTTCTCTCGCCTGTTTCTCGACCTCCTACATCTCTTCCTCCTATTTCTTCTTCTTCACCTCAATCTCTTGTTTGCTCCACTTCCTCTCCTCTTTCTCCCCTCCATCTGTTTTCTTTTCTCCTCCTTATTTCTCCTCCACCATCTTTCTTCTAGATCTGGGCATGGCGGCGACGAGGGTGGTGGCCATGGTGGTGACGATGTCGATGGCATTCTAGATCTGCACTTCTTCTTTTTCTTCTTCTTCTTCTTCTCGTTTTTTGTTTTACATCTGTGATAGGGTGGCGATGATGATGGGACTCGTGCCGATGGTGAGGATGGCGCTGATGTTAGGGTTGCCGGCGAAGTGGGGTGATGACGATGGTGAGGCTGGCGTCAATTGTTAGTGTAGATATGCACTTTTCTTCTTTTCTTCTTCTTTAATTCCTCTCTTTCCAACTTTCTCCTCTTTCTTTCTTTTAGATTTGTGTCATGGTTGGGTTGTGGCAGGGATGGTGGAGTTGCTGCGGAGATGGTGGAGGGGGTTGGCGCATAGTCGGAGAAAGGGGCGGTTGGGAACGAAGGGGCTGAGGATGGCAGTGGTAATGAGATAAGGAGAGGAATGACATTTTAGACCAATTACACCCATTGTCAACTTTTGATAAAAATGAACAAAAGTCAAACTAGGAACATCATTCCCGGACGGAGGGAGTATTTATGGCATTCGTTTCTAGTTTGTACATATAAACAAAATAACATACACGCTCTTCATCTTATATCAAAATTTTCATTTAAAAACAGAATATGTAGTAATTTGTCGATACACAACAAAATGAAATATAAAAAAATAAAATAAATACTTTGAATGGAGTAAAAGAAAAAAGAATAGAAAATGGTAATAAAAAAGAAAACAAACTGCCTTTTTCTTTTTACGCAAAAGTAAGATATAAAAATAAAAAAATTAACATATATTTACACCTCATTACTTTTCATCACACCTATCATAACACACATTTTTTATACGCCGTCAAGTCCTGTCAAACTCGTTATAACACATGGCCTATTTGGTGAATACCGCACTCCAAGCTAAGAGTTCCATTTATGGACTGTCACTCTTTATACAAGGGTGAATCTTTGAATTTAAATAAAAAAAAGTAAATGATCTAAAATAATTTTTTTTAAAAAAATTAAAGTATAAATAATAAATTTGGGAATTTTGTGGTGATTCTCTTGGTGAACCTATCATTACTCAATTGACTCTCATTATAGTCATTGTTAATTCTCCCTAGCTTATTACTCCATTCCTTAAAATATTTTCTCTTTAATTTTTCATTTTCCCAAAAACACTTTCATTTTGAAAAAATTGGTTAATATATCTAAATTAAGTTTTTACAATATATTGCATTCAATTTGCATTGATATAATAAATCATTTAAATGATTTGCCTCTCTTTTTTTTTCTTCGATAATACAAGTATAATTAAAAGATCAAACTATGAAATTAGATTTAATTTCTTTCAAATTAAAACAGGAATTTTTTTAAGAAACGGAGTGAATAGTATTTTAAGCAAAAACGATTAGGGGTACATGACGTCAAAAGCAATGACGGAGGCAAGATTACATAGCTTTGAGGTTCGTAGGCACATGGATTGTATTTTTACTTCATTCCTCCGCAAGTATTTTACGGAGTATCTTTTATTTCATTCCTCCTCTATTCTTATTTTGATTTTTTTAGTTGAACACTAAAATACTTTAAACCCAAATTTTAAGAGGAAGTTTATTTAGGGACGGAGAGAATATAAAATAAACTTTTCCTTTCGTTTAAATTTCCCCTTTCGTTTTTTCTATTTCCCCAAATAAACTTCTCTTTTCCCTTAAAAAACCCCTTTTACCCCTTACTTTTTCATACTCTATCTATCATATCATACCTTTTTACTAATAATCTACCTATCACATCTTACTTTTACACATCAAATCAAGGGTATTTTTGGAAAGTCAATACAAAAATATCTCTCCCTTAAATCCTCAAAAAGTCAAAAATGGAAGTTTATTTAGGGCACTGGGTATGGTCGTAACGCCCGGGGGCGTGAGGGGGCTTTTAACGCCCCGGGGGCGTTAAACACCGCCCCCGGCGACGTTACCCCGGCGTCATCGCCGTTGCGTCATTCGTTTGACGCGGCTCAGCCAAGCGTCATCCCTCCCCCAACGGTCCCCAACGGCTATATAGCCGTTCCCCCCCCATTAAAAAAATCAAAATTTTTTAAAAAAATCTGGCCTATAAATTCCCCTAAAAAATCATTCTCTCACACATCTCTCTATCGTCTCTCTAAAATATTTATTATTTATTATAAATATTTATAAAAAATATTTTAAAAATGGGATCATTTTCATCCGACGATGAAAAAAGAGCTCTCTTTTTTTGTTGTTTCGCCACGAGGTGTATTCAATGGTGGGAAGAAGGCGAAGAAGAAGAAGCCGAATCCTCCCGACGACGGACCCGACTCCTCTTTTGAGCTTAGATGGACGCTTTGAAAGCGTGGATATTATTTGGCCGATGGAATATATCCAGATTATTCCACGATTGTCAAATCTCTCTCCGAACCAATGAGTCTTAAACGCCAGACCTACAAAAAAGCTCAAGAGGCGGCGAGAAAAGATATAGAACGAGCCTTTGAGGTCTTGAAGAATAAATGACACATTTTAGATCGTCCGTCGAAATGTTGTTCTCAAACAAAAATGAGGAATATCATGTACGCATGTATTATTCTTCATAATATGATCATAGAGGATAACAGGACTGCGATTTGTCAATACAACCCGGACGAGGAGGTGCCTATGTACGAAGAAATCACCGAAGAAAAGAAACGAAGAAACCGCCAAGAAATTCGAAGCCGAGAGATTCACAATGCACTAACGGCAGATTTGATCGAACATATCTTTAGTCGCTCGAATAATTAGTGATTTCTTTTTACTGTTGTTTTTTTTGCAATATTTTTTTTAATGAATGTAATTTTTTTATGAATGTACTTTTTTATGAATGTAATATTTTTTTAATGAATGTAATTTTTTAATGCACTAGTCTCATTGCGTTTAATTTAAATAATAAATTAATTTAAATTCACTAATTTAAATTTAGAAGATGTAAATTTAAAAATGTAAAAAATGAAGGTTTGAAGCCCCGGGGCTTCAAACCCATTTCCAGTGAATCTGTGAGGTAAGTTAAAGCTGACGTGGTAGAGAGAGAAATTTTGAAGCCCTGGTTTGAAGCCCCGGGGCTTCAAAAGTATTTCCAGTGCTCTTAGGAACGGAGGGAGTATGATACATTTAAGTCATATCCAAACATGAACTCAATTATAATGATCAAAAGACGTCATTATTTGACTAAAAAAATCAAGACAAAAAGTAGTTCATGAGGCTGACGGTGTAACTTTTGAAAGTGAAAGTTGTATACGTTTGATCAAAGGTAAATGCGGAATTTACTTAAATAACACTAAAACATAATGAGTTTCCCTAAATAGCACCACATGTGTTTTTCTTTCCAATGTAGCACTTTTAGTCATTATGCATTAGTCATTATTCAAGTAAATATTCGTCATCACTGGACATTATGGACATTATTAAGTGCTATTTAGAAAATAAAATAGTTTAAGTGCTATTTAAAAAAAGACTTAAGTTTTAATGTTATTTAGTGCAAATATTTCTTAGAAAATATCAGAGTAAGGAGTGTAGAAGCTAGAGAGTTGGATACGTTAGGTTAGATTTAAAAAACAAATAGATTTATGTCTATTTAATCTAAAAAAGAATTTTTTTTTAGAAGTGAAAAATGAAAACACGCTAATTCTCTATAGTGTTGTTCTTATACTAATTTCTCAATGAGTTGTTTTGGCTTGCCGAAATTTTTTTGGAAAATAAACGTTTGAAAATAATACAAGTTTAAATGGTAAAAAATAAAAGTAAAAATTTGAAAACACAATATGTTTATTGATAGGCGGACATGATTTTGAATTTTATCAGTTTCGACTTTCGAGTCTGATCAGTTTTGGATTTTATCAGTTTTGAGTATTAACGATTTCATATGGTATCAGTTTTGAATTTAATCAGTTTGTATCTGATCGGTTAGGAACTAATCAGTTTTGGATTTAAATCGAGTATTAATTATTTATTTCAATTTCAATTCGGTTTAGATCATTTCGGGTTATCAGTTACTGGCCGGATCATCACATTTCGAATCATTTCGATTTTAATTTCGAATGAGTCAGTTCAAATAATCATTTCTGATTTTGTTTTGCCCATGCGCGGATGCACTCAATAACTAATGGGGGCACTTGCCCCCAATGAAATTTAGTTTTTATTTAATTACTACATTAAAATTTCTCTAAAAATTAATATTGTCCTCAATGAAAAAATAATTTGCCTCCAATAAAAAAATGTTCAAGTAAAACATTACTTAAACTTGTTTTGAAATGAACCAATTATTTAAACGTAAAATAAAAAAATTAAAACTAAAAATTAAACTATAATATTAGTAGAAGATAATTTTAAAATAAAAGGTTCAAGAAAAAGTAAAATTATAAAGAGTACTTTTGAGATTTTTCATTAATTATTTGAATGTTTTACTCCACTCATCATTTCACAAAATGGTTCATATTTTGACTTTTAGGAGAGATAAATAGTGTATATTTATGGTTGACTTTTCAATTTTATTATTGATATGATTGGTAAATGTAAAATGTGATAAGTATTTTATTACTAAAGAAATATAATGTGATAGATAAGGTAAGAAAAAATTGTGGTAAATGTAGTGTATTGATAGAAAGTGAAAGTCTTTTGGAAAAAAATATAAAAGAGGAAGTATTTTAAGAAAACGAATGGAGTATTAAATTATTTTTTTTATAATTTACTTCAATTTAATAAAAAAACGAGGGCGCTATCCTCGAAATATGTGCTCCAAATTTTGGATCCGTCGTTGGTTTTGCCAGGTCTAGGCATGTCACTAATTGGTCGTTATAAAAAAAATTTAATAGAAAGTGAAACCAATGAAGAATGAAAATCGAAATGTTTTTTTTAGGGAGGGAATATTCCCGTAGATATGGAAAAGAAGAATGAAACATAAGTGTGCGAAATTTCCGTGAAGATAATTGATTATGGATAATTGTATCTCTTAGCCGGTTACGTCTTTGAGATTTGATATGATACGATAATGAAATGCTTTAGCAAATAGCACTAGGATTTTATTTGATCATTATATCATACTCCAGTACTTCCTGAGCAACCCAATTATATAATATTCCTTTTTGAGTTTTTGTTTATTTTTTATTTTTTTCAATCAATTATTTTCAAATTTTAACATATTACTCCCTTATATAAAATTATAAAGTATATTTATTAGATAAAAAATAATTTAATAATATTATATATAAAAAAATTTAATAATATTATTATTTGCATCAATATTTAATATTAATTTATTTAATTATTGTTCAAAGTTTATCAATTTTGACAGTAAAAAGTCAAAACTGGACAATACTCATAGACTGAGTTAATATCCAGTATCAAAGAATATTCTCATACTCCGAAATATATGGAGTGTTTCTTTTTCTTACTTCTTCTGTTAAAAAAAGAATGTCACATTACACACAACACAATAAACTTTAACGTTTTTTCAATTAGTTTTATGTAAAGGTTGATATAAAAATAAAAAATAAATTTAAGTATTTAAAAATTTCTAAAAAATCCTACAAAATAAGATATCATAAAAATATTTTGTTTTTAAAATAATCAATGAAAATGTTCAAATAAACAAAATTTACGTATTTTTGAATGATGAAGTGTGTCATTTTTTTTAAATGGAGGGAGTAGTATTTTGTATACTTTGTAAATATTACTTCCTCCGCTCCAATTCAATTCGTCTATTTCGGTTTCGGATGTTTAAATGAAGTTATTCTCAATTTAATTTATTAGAGTCGGAGCGGAATTAAAAAAAATAAGATGACCTGACTATATTATTTTATCAAATGAGTAACGAAAATAAGAGAAATAAATGAATGAGGTTCGACTCTATGAATAATAAACAGACAACTTAATTTGAAACAGAAGAACTATCAATTTATTGTCAAGGTTGCAAATTAATCCCTCACCTAATTTTAAATAAACTACTTTTTCCTCTCTCATGAAATGAATTACCAAGACCTTACACCTTCAAACTACCTCTATTAAACATTATTCATTTGTTTATATTTTCACTGCATAATATAAAAACAAGTCAATTCACCTCTTACTCCATACTTTTAGTAGTTTTTAATTATTCAAATTTATTTTTAAACTTTATACATATGATCAAATATATAGAATTAAGAATGAAATCAATCAAACATCATAAGTGGGTAATTCAAATTCGGAAGGAGTACACTCTTGTAAGATACTCCGCATTTAATTATAAAGAATTAGGTTTCACACTTTCACCTTTTGTCATATCAGTTTATTTGTGATTATAGCTCAATATACTTTTTTTTTTTTGAGAACAACCAACTTTCATTAATTCAAAAGAGACATAAGAAAATCAGGGGGGACAAAATCTCAATCACCTGTCTGAGTTTCAACCCGCCTAGCTAACGTATGTGCTACCACATTGAGACTTCTACGAACATGAGAAACCAAAACAGATTCAAACGAGGCCATGAGGGCCTTACAGTCATCAATCAAAGACCCGAAATAAGAAGCACAATCCGACACACCACTATCATTAATTGCCTCTACGACACGAAAACAATCAGAAAAAATAACAGCAACCTGGACTCCAAGACTTTTGAGCCACGACAAAGTCTCCCGGCATGCCATAGCTTCTGCCAACAATGGATCTTGCGGGCACCACAACCGTCGAGCAAAAGCCGCTTGAAATTCCTTAGAAGAGGAGAAAATCACTCCACCAGCACCAACCAAACCCGAAGCATGGAATAGAGCAGCATCAAAAAAACAATGGGCAGCTTCAGGGGGGAAAACCCTCTCTGCCGAAGGAGTTAAGGTGGGGGGATCCTCTCTATGACTATTCTCCCACCCTTTCGAAAAATTCAGCACCATGCGAACTGTTACCTCTGGGGTTGGCACCCGTTGTTCCCATACGGCTGCGTTCCTACACTTCCAAATCATCCAGATTGTCCACACAATGTGGATTAGCTCACTGGACATGGCTGTCTGAAACACCAGCTAAACCCAGTCAGAGAACGAACTCGCCGCCGATCGATTAGCCACCCGGAAGCTGCTGCGTTCCCACACATATTCTGCAAACGGGCAACGAAGAAACAAATGATCCACTGTTTCACTCAGCTGGCCACAAATGGAACAGGAGGATATTTATTGGCGTCAACGGGCTAAGCCAGATTGATGTATATTTATTGGCGATATCAGGTTTACTAAACGGTATATTACTAAACCCAACATAGTTTTTCATACATCATTTGCCCCATCCATTTACAAGTAAAAAAAAGTACATTAACAAGCCAGAGCTATTAGTCCTACAGGTAGGTGGCCAGCCAAACAACCAACCTTGAAGTGTCCCTAAGGCATCCTTTCCAAAGAGATTCGGCAATTCTTCGACCCCATGGGATATTTACTCAATTTCTCCAACAGAATGCCCTCACCCTCATACTGCTGTGGAACTTTGATGACCATTTCAGTCAACGCCATCGCCTTCTCAAGGAATTCCCTAACCATGGAAAGCCTCTCGTGAAGTCTTTCAGAGCATAAGAGCGTGACAGATATCGTTCTGAGATCTGTCAAGAAACACTCTGGTACTGGGTTCAACAACTCATCATCACTTCCATTTACTTGATAGTGTAATTCCTGGTTGTCAAATGAAGAAACAATTGTTTACCACCATATTTTCTACAAGTAAAGCAAATCCAGAGCATTACCTTATTAAAACAGAGATTTTGGAGACGAGGAGATCTTCTTAGCATTATCCAGAGCCCCGTAATACTTATCATAAAATCCCAATCCAATGTTAACTTGATCAAATTACTGAAGAGAGGAACAATGCCCCTTCTGGACTCTACCTAAGGGTAGAGAAGACAGAAATTGTGTTAGAACGTCAAGCATATAAATCACAGTTAAAGAGGACAATAACGCATCAAAGTAAGCATACAAGTAAGAGTGAGCTGAATAGAGTAAGCTCCTTCACATTTGAAAACAAATGCAGTAGTTTGAAAGCATGGCATGAGTCTCTATTGTCATCTTGTATATGATCATCACTCCACAAATAAGCCTCAATTAGCTGGTTGGTGTCTTCCAGTATGCAATGTGTATCTACGAACCAACCCCGATAATGGAAGGACTTGAGAGGAGTTCCATTGATCTCTATAGTGGAGCGAGAACGCTTGAACATGTTGAGACTGAGATGTTGAAGCTTGGGGCCAGTAACACGAATACATGGCCTGGCACAACTTGAAGATTTGATACTGCCGTGCGAACCTTCTTCATAATCCAATCTTTCAAGTGAAGGAGTGGAAAATAATTTTTCCAGCGTCTCATTATCCTCAAACATGACATTCCGAAGAATCAATACCTTGAGTTTTGGAAGACAAATTGAAGGGAGCTTGAGGAGGCAAAATGATTCCACACAGAGCATTTCTAGACTTGCACAAGTAAATATGGATGAAGGTAATAAGTATGCCCTTTTATATTTAGAAAGGACCAGGGAGAGATCTCGTACACCAGATGTTATGACGGATTCAATCAATTTCTTGACCCGGACGACGGCTCCCTCTACTTCACAGTTGAGAGAAAATGCTCTCATAGGCAATCTGCCACGAAGAGCACTTGCCCTTTCAACAAAGTCCAAGAAGAGAGACCTCTTAGATAAGTCAGACTCCTTGAAGTGAAGATCAGGAACCAAGGCCCACAATTGTCCCCACCTTTTACATGATAGGCTTGTCTGTGCTGCATCCTTCACCTCAAGAAATGACAAGATATGGAGAAGAAGCTCATTGGGTAAATCACACAACCGATTCGAGCAATTGGCAACCTTGCACTGCTCTACCTTTTCAGAGAATTCCTCCTGCATTCCAAGATCTCGATTCACAAAGGAAAGAGCCATTTGTCTACTTAGTAAATAAAGTTCCATTTGAGAACCTATTAAACTTCTGAAGTTGCAAGAATCGATAAGTTTTAGTCATAGTTGCCAATACTTGATGGAATTTTTAAATAATGTACCTTCAAATTTAAAGGTAAAGAATGCAATATCTCCAGTCCCTCATTTTAGTCACTATAACATTTGAGCCCTAAACTAGCAAACAAGCTAAGGTAGGGGCATGCACACAAGCAAACCTTCAAGATCGCCAAGTATACCTGAAGCATGTGGTTTGTCCCTTCTTCGGATAGCCTTTGTTTCTTCTTTACATTTTGTAGTTCTTGAATTAATAATGAGTTTTGAACCTGATTATAACCATATCAATTAAGAAAGCAAAGTTGCATTATATATCTCTACAAGATCACAACATAAACAAGACATGTATGGAGACAGGTAAAATGGGAGGTTTTCTTTTTCCTTTTTTTGGGGGGTTTGGGTTTGGGTTGGGGGGGGG